GGGCGCCGGCTTCATTTCTGCTCCCGCATCGTTCCGAATCGTGCTCCCGGTGCAGCGTGGGCCTCATTTTCGGATCGGTGCGTGACCTCCGTCGTTCAGGATGGCGTTCTCGCCCCAGCGCGGGCCTCTTTCTCGCGCGCCCATCCGCCCGCCACCGCCGCGCCGCACCACCACCACCACCACCACCACCACCACCACCACCACCACAGCACCAGCACCAGCACCAGCAGCACGAGCACCAGCACCACCACCACCACCACCACCACCACCACCACAACCACGCACACACGCACGCACGCACGCACGCACGTGCACCACCACCCACTACGCACGCGCGCGCGGAGCCACAGGTCCGCTACGACACGCGTCCGCGGATAGAGAAAATCAGCGCCATGGTAAGGGATGGGAGGGAGGGGTAGGACGTCAGATATGACGCGAGCGCACCTAGCTTGCCCCCCCTCCTCCTCCGCCCCCCCCCTCCGCCCCCTCCTGCACCCACCCCCTCCTCCCCCCCTCTCCTGCCCCCCCCGCGCCCTCCATGGGCGTGGTCTCCTCACTTTGCTCGGTCAATATTTTCTTGCTGCAGCCTGTAAGCGCCACGTGCAGGCTGTTTGCAAGCCCCCGAAGTGGGGAAAGTCACGGCGGTTGGAAGCCCAGCGGGGGAAACAAAAAAAAACAAAAAACGCCCTCCAAACCCAAGGCGTCCCCAGGATCCCCCGAAGAGGCCCGCGCGGCCGCCGGATCGACCCCTCGCGAGGCGCGGAGGGCTCCGGGGGCAGGCGAGCCCGGAGTCGAAAATCGCAAAGTCGGGTCGGCAGCTCTCCCCTCTCTGCCTCCCTCCCTCAAGCCTCGCGGCATCGAGCTGGCACTTGGGATCGAAACGAATGCGCATCGGGTCGGGGTGCATCGGCACGGAGCGGAAATCGGAGGGGATAGCGCCGTGCAGGCGCCAGTGCCCGAGTGGCGTCCGAGCCCCCCCGGCCCACACGCGAAGCACCGCTGCTCGGGGCACTCGAGGAGCTTGGGCAGCTGCTTGTCTTTGAAGGTCGGCACAGTCTGAATCGTGCTCCTAATGCCCCTGGCACCACCACCGCCCTCCACTCCCTTCGGGCGTTGCGTACATGGCGGGTCATACCCTGACCTTCCAGGGGGGCTAAAAAATAACACCCGACTTACAAAACGTTCCCAGAGCTATTCTACGTCTTGGTTTTAGGCTGTTTCGCTCTGCTTTTTAGGTTTTTAAGGTCTCCAGTGCTAGAAAATAGTTCTCTGGAAGGTCAGGGTGAATGGGGGGGGCGAGGTTGGTCCGAAAAGGTACCCAAACGGTACCTTAACGAGCCCCCTTGGGCCCTGGAGGGGCCCGAAAGGGGCACGAAAGGGGACCGTTTCTGACGCCCCCCCCCCTCCATTGAGGACCCCCCTATCAAGCCACGCCCAATCCCTCCCCAATCCCTCTCCCCACGCGCCCTCCCTCGCGCGCGGGAGGAGGAGAGCAGGCAGGGGGACCCGTTAAGGGCGCCCTCGGATCGGCTGCGGGGCGCGCAGAGACTGCAGCCGCGGGCGCGGCGCCGGAGAGCGCAGGCAAGGGGGAGAAGCAACCCTGACCTTCCATGAGGGCTAAAAAATAGCACCCGACGTAAAAACCTGTCCCAGAGCTATTCTGCGTCTTGGTTTTAGGCTGTTTCACGTACCTTTCATGTTTTTAGGTCTCCAGTGCTTTAAAAAATAGCTCTCTGGAAGGTCAGGGAAGGCAGGGCCCTCAGTCGTTTTGACCAGCCAGCGCACGTCTCAGCGCAGAAGAAGTCCGAGGGCGGGGGCCACCATCGGTTCGCGAGAAGCGTGTTGGACTATTGCGCGGCGAGGGCAGTGCTGGGCAAGTCGTCCCCGGGAAGCTCACAGGCTCATCATAGTCGGGCGCCTCCTGAACAGCGACCCGTAGGGGGATCCGTTTGAAGGCAACGTGGCCTGCCAATCGGCTCAAGAGGCCCGCGCGATCCGCAAACTCAGCATGGGGCCAGAGCTGGGTGCCAGCACTGGCCCGGGCACTGGGTGCCAGAGCTGGCGGAGCTCCATGCGACAATGCAGCCGCGCTCAGCCCGCGCGAGAGCAACGTTGAAACGGCGGGGGCAATCGAGGTGCCCGAGGTTGCAGGGGGGCCCGGAAAGGGGCGGGCGCGAGCGGCGGCGGGGCGGACGGGGGCCAAGGGAGCCGGCCGGGGCCAGAATCGCCGCTCGGCGCCGGCCAGGGCCACCCACATTGCAGGAGATCGACATGGTGGCGGTAGGGGGCGAGGACGGCGATGGCGGTGTCGGCCGGAGGCGCGGGAGCGCCGTTGCTGGGGAGGTCGCACGCGGCCTTGGCCGCAGCTGGGCCGCAGGAGCCGGCCACGCGCGCGCGCGAAGGGCCGGGAAGCAGCCCGCCTCGCCGAGTGGGGGGGCGCGAGAGGGGAGTGGGAGCAGCGCGCGGGCAGAGGCCGGACAGCGGGCGCGCGCCCAGCTGCCGGAGGGGGGGGGTCGGCGGCGGGGCGGAGGGCCAGGGGCAGCCCGGGCGCGGTCGTGGGCGCGCTCCCGACCTTGACCTTCCAGGAGGGCTAAGAAGTAACACCCGACCTAAAAACCTGTCCCAGAGCTGTTCTACGGCTTGGTTTTAGGATGTTTCGTTCAGTTGTTTAGGCTCTTAGGCCTCCAGTGCGAAAACATAGCTCTCTGGAAGGTCAGGGTGGACAGCGGGCGCGCGCCCATCTGCCGGATGGGGGGGTCGGCGACGGGGCGGAGGGCCGGGGACAGCCCGGGCGCGCTCGCGGGCGCGTTCACTTGGCATCGCTCGGACGTGTGCATTTTTTCTCGACGAGAACCATCGAGGACCATCCTGGACCATCGAGCAAAAACTACACGGGAAATGGACGTCCGAGCGACGGCAAGGTTCCCGAGCGGGCCAAGCGGAGCCGGGGGGCGCGGCGCGCAGCCCTTTGTGGAGCTCGCTGCTCAGACAGACCAAGCCGGGGCGAGCCGCCGTGGTGGGCCGAGGCCGGCGAGCTCCTCGCGCAGGGAGATCCCTCGACGCCCCGAGCGACGGCGGCCTCGGAGCGAGAGTGGGGTGGCAGCTGCGCGCGGTCACCGAAGAGGACGACGGGGGCGTTCCCCAGGGAGGCGATGGCGAGCGGAATTTTGGCAGCGGCCTCCGCCGCCTGGGCGGCCTCGTCCAGCAGGGGGGCGCGGCGCGCGAGATCGCGCCCTTGTCCCGGCCGAAGCGCGGGGTGGAAGTCTTCGAGATCAAGGGAGGAAAAACCGCCCAGACTGGAGCATTGGCGTTTACTATAGCATTTACTCAACAGCCCTGCCTTGTTTGATTCCTTCTTAGGGTGCGTGTGCTAAGCGGCCTCGCGTAGCGGGGTGGTTATTGTTGGGGTGGATTTCCCGCCCTCTACTCGAGCGCGACTCCGATGGCGTTGAAGCCCCATCGATTGCGGAAGGAGTGGGCGAAAGCTTCGCGCTCAGCGTCGGCCGCCGCCCACGTTCGGGAGGAGCCCGGCGGATGCCACGGCCCTGTCGAGGTCCGCGTGCCGACGGGTCGCGCGCCCCGGCCGGGCCCCGAGCTGCTGGCCGGCGGGAGCCTCGGCCACACGTCCTCCGCCTTCTTGCCGCAGATGCCGCCGTGCTGGGAAGCGGCGCGGGCGGCAGCGGGGCAGGGGGCAGGCTTCGGCGAAGGAGGCGGCGAGGGCGCGGGCGGCGGCGCGCGGCCTGCCAGTGCCAGGGGGCCCCGCGCGCAGCCAGGGGCGGAGGCGGAAGGCAGAAGCGAGGGCGCGTGCTCGGCGCGCGTCGATGCGGCGCGCGGCGCGGACGGTTTTTGGCTCAAGATGCAGGTTTCACGTTTCGTGTTCTATCCAGATGCCTGCCCAGCGATAGCTGGCCGTGTAAAGATCTTAGCAGCGGACGCTTAAACATTGCAAGACACGGGTCCGGCAGGTGGAGTGGAAGAAAATACATCAGGTTGTGAGTATAAGTCCATACTATAACCATCACCTTCAACAAGGGGGGAGGGGGAGGGGGCGCGGGGCGGGGCGCGATAACAGCGGCGGTGGACGAGTGGCAACAGCCAGGGGCCAAGAGAGAAGGGAGCCGCCTGGCGCGCCCAGGGATGGGGCCAACAGCCGCTGGCGCAGTGGCGTCGGCGGGGGGGGGCAGGTGCAGGGGTATCGAAAGACGATGGCCCGAGCGCGCTGGGGTGGCCTTCGTCGGCTTTCCAGCCGGGTTTGCGGCTGGTTCGCCATCTGGTTCGCCAGCGGATTCAGTGGGAGAAAGGGACGGCGGCATGGGGGGGGGAGGCCGCGGGGGCCGAGACGCTGCTTGCGCAGAGTCGGGGGGGGCGAGAACTTCGCCTGTCAGCCATGCAAGCTCGGTGTGGCATCCCGTGGCGCACGCCCACTCCGGGATGCGCTTGCGGTCAGCGGTCGGAATGTCACAGGCGATGGCGACGGCCGCGCGACCACGGTTCCCCGCCGCGCCGCTCGTCGGGCGCGTGGTCAATGCCGCAGAGGAGTTGGGTCCACTCATGGACACGGCTCCACTGAACCATTTCCTGGACGATACCGAGCTGCAGTCAACCACGGTAGCAAGGCTACCCTTGCATCCTTGCCCCTTCGTTCGGCATCCTTCGGCACGCTGCTGCGCTCCGCGCGGAAAACGTCAGCGTGGCGGTCCAAGGCCCCTGCATCCTTGCCGCGCATCCGGGCTGTCCTGGTCGAGGGGGCAGCCCGTCTGAGGGACAGGGACCGAGCGCACTCTCGTCACAGAAGGGGCCTTTGCTGATGGGCGTGTTTTCCACCACCACCACCATGAGTTGGAGAGGGGGGGTCCTCCTCCTCCTCCTCCTCCTCCTTCTCCTCCTCCTCCTCCTCCCTCCAACTTATGGTGGTGGTGGTGGAAAACATGCTCACCATTTGCGCGTGGCCCACCGCGCGAGAAGGCGCTGCCTGGGCCGCCAGCAGGGGGGCAGTCCTTGCCGGGGCGCCTGCGCCCATCCCAGGCAGCCGCGGGAGGCGTCGGGTGAAGGAAGAGGGCGAGACAGTGAAATGCGAGTGTTTGGGGGGGGGTCCTGGCCCTGAAGCGCTTCTGCCTGAGATCCAGCAGGCACGGGGGGCCACTTCAGTTCCCAGAGCGCCCAGTGCTTGTCGCACCGCGCGAGGATACCCGGCGCATCTGCATGATCAGCAATGCACACACAAACACTGACACACACACGCACACACACACACACACACACACACGCACACGCACACGCACACGCACATACACACACAAACACACACACACACACACACACACCCACCCTGCACAGGAGGACGGGGACGACGACCACACCGAACGGGAGAAGGGTGCCCAAATATTGTGCAGCATGCCGGTGGCAGCTGGTAGCCGAGGCTGATTTTGCATGAGCGGGCTGATCATCGGGAGTCCACAGTGGGGCACCTCACGGTAGGGTGGCCCCTTGCCGATGGTCCAAAATGGCCACGAGCATGCTGCTAGTGCAGGGAGCATTTCGAAGCATTTAGGAAAATCACCTCCTCCCAAAACCTCTCACACGCAACCGCAAATCGCACTCATCCCTGCCCTGCTCCTCGTCCTCCTGATCCCCGTCCTCCTCCTCCTCCGCCTTCTCTTCTCCTCGTCGCCGTCATCGCCTTCTCGTTCTCTCCCTCTCTCTCTCTCTCTCTCTCCTCCTCCTCCTCCTCTTCCTCCTCCTCCTCCTCCTCTTCCTGTTCCTCCTCTTCCTCCTCCTCATCCTCCTTCTCTTCTTCCACAATTGCAGAACATGAGTACTACTCTCCTCTCTCCCCTGATGAAATCCGGAAGATGTCCGGCTCCCTCCGCGTATTGTTTTTTCACAAGATTCCCGGGACTTGGCTTTTCGTTTGGGTTTGTGTTTCAAAATGCTGTATTCCCGCTGAAGCGTCGGCTTCATTTTGTACTTCCGCTCGTTCCCAATCGTGCTCCCGCTGCAGCGCAGGCCTTATTTCCGCGCTTCCGCTCGTTCCGAATCGCGCTCCCGCTGCAGCGTTGGCCTTCCTTCCAAGTAGGCCCCAAAATTTAGAAAATGCCTCCCGAAAAAAACATGGGAAGAAATTCCACATTCGGTATCGATTCGTTGATTTTCTGGACCGCAGAAGCCCCCACCCCGCCATCGCTTTCAGGACGTATCAAGCGAGAGCCCCGCTTCTGCTTTGAGAAGGCGATGTCGAAAGCAGAGCCAACGGGTGTTCTCCATCAGCCCCGCCTTGCGTGGAGCTTCTCAGGGAGCCCAACGAGCTAGACCTGGAGCCACGAGTCCAAACTGGCCCAGACCTCAAAGTCGTTCCATTTACCCTCCAAAGACCCTTGCGCCATGACATGCTGTGCTGTGTTGTGTTCCGCGCCGCTGTGCGATGCCATGCTGTGCGTTGCAATACTTTATGATGCAATGCTTCACTGCGCAATGCCACGCCTTGCTATGGCATACTAAGGTCTGCCGCGCTATTCTAAGCCATGCCATGCCGTGCTCTACCATGCATCGTGTACCCTCTCGTGATCATTGCCCTGCTCGACAACCGACGGTGCGAATTGAGAGGATACATCTAAGCCACGGGAAAGCTTGGGAGGGAGGGGTAGAACGTCAGATATGACGCGCACGCAGCTTGTCCTCCTCCTCCTCCTCCTCCGTAGCCATTTTGGCTCAAGATGTTTGTGCCCCGTGGCAGAGCACGGAGACCCCTGGTCCGGGGACTGCTTGGACCGCTGCTTTCCGCCTTAGCCGTGCCCGCGGCGTTGAGCATCTCCATATCTTTTGCTGCAGAGACGCAGTTTACATATCACTCGCCAGCAGCGCTGGCCCTGTACTCGCTCGCTTCGCGATGGGACTGCCAGGCGTCTCCAGCTCTGCCGACTCATTCGACAAGGGCAACCGTGGTCGACCCCTCGGCCGCTGGCGCTCAGAAGCTCGCAGCAATCGACTTGCCCGCACACCAGCGGAAGGCACTCACCGATCTTCTCCAGACCCAAGTCGACAAAGCCGCCGCCGCCTTCGAAGCCACCTCCAAGCAAGTCGCTGCCGCTGCGCAAGCCGAGCTCCTGGCAAACATCTCGAAGCTCACCGAACAGCTTAGCACCCGCCAGGAGACCGCCGAGCGGGACATCGCCGAACTCAAAGGCCGTGCTGACCGAGCTGAACGACTCCAAAGCGACCTCAAGGCCAGCGTGGACGCCCTCCAACAAGCTTTTCGTCATGCTGAAGCTCTCCACCCAGCTATGGACTTGGATGCCATTGGTGCCTGGGACCGCCCACCGAATGCAGCTACCTTCTGGTGTGGTGCTGCATCAGAGTTTTCCGTCGCCTCGCTCAAGACCGCGCTCGCCCCTTGGTTCGACGCCGCCGACGTGGACATTAACGCGCTCCGCATCAACTCGGATGGCCCAGCACGGAGAATCTCACTCACACTCACTGGTGGCAATACGATTGCTCTCCCGCGAGCCCAGGCTCTTCATCGCGCACTTCGACAGGGACGAGAATGGCGCCGCTTCCAAGTGGAATCTGACTCTGGCTCCACTGCCCTCTACGTCTCCGCGGACAAATCACCACGCATGGACCGACAGGAAGTACAGCTCAAAAAAAGCCCAGCAAGCTCATCAATGACAAGTCCCCCATGCTCGAGACTCGGGCCCACCGCGCGGGCGGCTTTCTGTCCATCAACGGCGCCCCCATCGTCCAGATCACGACTGGAGCCACGCCTGATGCAGCTACCCAAGTTCGCTGGTCCGACGCAGCTGCTCCCGCTGGCATCCCTACCACCGAGCACGTGCCCTTGGCTACCGCGCTGGCCGCTACCTTCGCCAACCCACTGGAGGCAGCACGGTGGCTTTAGCACACGATGGTCGCCGTGGTTCACGAGACCACACTCCGACGGCTTCAATCTGGTCTCGTGGAACACCCAGGCGCTCAACGGCAGATCGGCATCACGGCGGGCCCTCGAGCGCAAGTTGCTGCTCCCCTACATGCGGCAACGAGCGGCCATCGCCCTCCAAGAGACACACGGCAACAGCATCGACGTGGACATCCTGGCCGCGAGCACCGACCACAAGTACATTGCCTTCCATTCAGCTCTCGTGACTGACGGCCACTCCTCGGAGACCGCAGGCGGCATCGCCTTCCTGGTTCCCTTTGGTCGAACCGAACACCAACTACCACCTGATCAACGGCCCCTACGTACATTTCGCGCGATCGTCCCTGGTCGCATTGGTGAATTACGCGTTCAAGACGGAGCAAGGCAGCACGAGACGACCATCTTCAACATCCACAACTACGACCTCAGCGGTTCTGACCGATAGCGCTTCAAAGCTGCGTGGCAAGCAGCTGCTCAACGTTCTGCCCTCCACCCTGACAATCACGACTGCTACATGGCCGGTGACTTCAACATCGCTCAGACGCCGCCGAAGAGCCTGCTCCACCCCACCGCGGACTCCACCGCCGAGCGCTACCACTATCAGCCTGTCTTCTGGAAGAACATCTTCTCACAGATGATGGAGATCACAGGGAATGCCACCACTCATCGATGCGCTGCCAACCTAACGGAGGCGACCATCGACAGATGCTTCGTCTCGATCAACGCGTCCAACATCCCGCACATCGAGTCACTTCTTGTCGCCGATGGCAGACCGCTTGACCGTGAAGGAGAGCCCATCAGCGATCGCAAACTATTACACCTACGACTACGACCACGTCAGCCACGCCCAGTCAGCGAGCGCGGCATCCCTGCCTTCCTCTTCGAGTCCAAGCACTGCAAGTTTTACTTCCAGCGCCTTGTCGAGATGGCCGGCTTCTCTGCCGACCCCATCTCAAACTGGCGGACAATGATGCACATAATGAAGCTGGCGGCGCGCAAGTCTCGCGACACCATCACCACCCTCTCCGCCTCCGAGATCATGCCGATCGAGAGCCAAAGGGAAGACCCACATGTCATAGCAGAGGCACGTACACTCACGCTCCGCAGTATTGCCAGGGCCATCTGGTTCCAGGACCTCACTCTTGCCCAGCGGCTTCGCAACGGCACCATCGCTGGGGCGCAACACATCAACATCCGTCAACACGCGATCTCTCTAGTCGACCGCGCCGCCTTCGAGGCTGAGCACTCAGCCATGCAGCACCAGATCGCAGAACAGCGACGTCGGGCTGCTGCCGCCCGTTCGCGCGCTGCCTACGCGGAACAACGGCCTGACCTTGGCGAGCAATGGCGACGTCGTGCTCGCCGTATTGGACAGCGCAGTGAGATCTGGAAGCCGTTCTCGATACGCTTGGTTCTCGCAAGCGTTCGCATCGCCGACAGCAGAGGCCCGACAGTCGCCAACGACCCCATGAGCATGCACAGCGCTATTCAATCTCACTGGTCGAAGGTGTTTGCGGCTAAGCCAGTAGACACCCCAGCGATGCAGCAGCACCTGGACATGGTCTTCCCGCCAGCACCTCCACGCCATCTGCCTCGACCTGGGATTGATGAACTCCAAGCCGCAGCTAAACTCGCCAGTGACTCAGCTCCTGGCCCTGACGGGCTGCCCTACCGCGCTCGGGCACGACCAGACGGCAGCATCGCAATCCTCCACGACCTCCTCCACGCCATTGCTCACGGCGGCCCGATCCCCTACGACCTGAACTACGCGATCATGGCCATGTTTCCCAAGGGCGACGAGCCCATGGGCAACTACGAGCGCCCCCGCAGCCCCGGCTGTCTCCGCCCCCTCGCCACGTAGAGCGGCGGCATCAAGATCATCTTCTCCGCAACGAACCGCATCCTCGACTCCGCTGCGTCGGACACCGAAGAAGAGCAACAAGTATTTGTCAATGGCCGTCAATTTCTATCCAACATCGTAAAGGTTGACACCATCGCCCGCCTCACCAGCATCAACAGCGAAGCCTCCAACATGATGCCCTGCTTCGCCAGCATGGACATTGCTGCAGCATTTCCGAGCCTAACGCACGCGTGGTTGTGGGCTACTCTAAGGCGATGGGGCATCCACGGCGTCTTTCCCAATCTCTTGCAAAGCTGCTACAACATGCCACTTGCCTTTCTCGAGCTAGGTGGGGTTCGCCGACCGCTGCTTCTCGCAGAATCTGGGGTTGCTCAAGGGTGTCCCTTGAGCGGCACGCTCTGGGCGCTCGCCTTCGACCCAATCATCAAAGGCCTCAAGATGGAACTCACCGCTCTGGGCAGACGCCTGCTCAGCGCTTGCGCCGACGACTTGGGCATCGCCCTTGCTGCACTTCGGGATCTTGACGCTCTTCTCCCACACCTTCAAGCTGCTCACCAGCATGCTGGCCTCCGCCTCCAACCGAAGTAACGCGTCCTCGTGCCCACCTGGTCCCTGCCGACGCCCGAGATCACCGCGAACATGCGTGCTATCCTGACCCAGCTCTACGAGCCGTGGCAAGCTTTCTCCATCAACAGCTTCGCGCGATACCTTGGCGTGCACATCGGCCCTGGCGCCTCTCTTGACCGTCAATGGCAAGGCCTTGCCAACAAGTGGTGGGAACGCATTCAGATCCTGAGCGACTCCAACGCTCCCATCCAGCAGAGCATCAAGATGTACAACTCCGCCGCCATCACCTGTCTCTCGTACGTGGGCCAGCTCTACCCGCCATCCCCAGCATTCCTGTCCAAGGAGATCCATGGCCTCCACGAGCTGATCCGTGCTGCCCCCTCGAGCTTCACGAAGATGGACATCCTGTCGTTCACGCTGTGGGCGTCCGCCACGATCCCGCAGGGCATTGAAACGCTTCTTGCTGCGACTATGTGGCGCGCCTCCACTACGACCATCCCTGGCTGGCAGCCTCTGCTTCACGAACTTCGTGCTCATGCTGAAGACCTCCTCCCACTACGAGATGTGGTGGCTGGCAAATGGTCTGCCCCATGCTGGATTGACGCCACTTCCATCGTGCAGCGATTCGACGCCATCTTTCACAACAAGCTGATCGTGACAGGCAAAGGCTCCATCTTCAAGACTCTCACGCGAACCACAGGAACTACGGTGAACGCTGCCCGTGCACTTCAACGAGCTCATGCGCAAGCTGCTGCAGCTGGACGGCATGCTATCCAGGCCTCACGCCGTAACAAGGCGGAGGATCTCTGCACACACAGTCGTGACAGGACTGGATTTTACCAGGCGCCAAGCCGTGACAGGGCTGGTGACCTTCACACACCCAGTCGCGACAGGACTGGCGGATTTCATCAGAGGCAAGCTGGGCTCAACCCTTCGAGCGCTAATACCTCGAGCGTCGCATCACGAACCTCCCCACAACAAGCCTACCCACGGGAATTACAACGCCAGCTGCACCGCGACTCCTTCCACAAGACCATTCATCATCGTCTTCGTGCTTGGTTCCCGCTACTTCCTGTCGACAGTGGCTCTCCGATGGCGCCTTCTACACCTGAGCAACCGACTGGGAATGACGATCACGACTCCACGAAGTACCTGAACGAACGCGCAGAAGCATGGGCAGCAAGATGGATCCCCAGCCAGCCGCGACATGGACAACTTCAACGACTGGATGGACTGGTGCGTCCCTTACGTCACAGCTGTACTTCACCGCGCCCAGTTCAATGCGCACTTCAGCCTCGATGACCAGTACGGATCTGCCTGTGCTCGCCGTGACATGGCGACGGAGATATGTTACGATGCGTGGCATCGAGCTGACCGCCCTCGCAACCACCGCTTGCAGATCTACACCACCGAACACATGTCGACCAACACTCATCGAGAATTTGCTGACGAAGCTGCTGAACACCGTGCCCGTCGTCGCTGGATCGAACGCGAACGCGCCACCAACCCGAACCTCCCGCAGGAAGACGGCAACACTCAGTCTACAACTACGACCACCTCCACGCTTCCCATCCACCCCACCAGTGACATCACGATGGGCACCGATACATCCGACCGTGACGGACTTCTTGGCCACGCTGTTCTCCCTGCCAGTGTTGAACACGTCTGGCGCGATCTACGGCCCCACCTAGCGAACTCCACGGCCTCGCTCTTCTGGCCCGCGGTCAAGACCTTGTCAGGCGCATGGACGACCTCACACCGCATGCACGCCAATCCCCACAAGAAGAACTGCTTGTTCGGCTGCGACAAGGACTTGCAGGCCAAGAACACGGACGACATCAGCCACTACATATCGTGCCCTCGGATGTGGGCGCTCTTGGCTCATCCACGTGGGCAACCTGCTGGTGATGCCCTCACACGCCTGGGCCTCCACCAGAACGGCATCATCGACGACCACCCGAGGCACACCATCACTCGCATGGCCGTGGCCTACCGCAGCTACAACATCCTGCGGGCGCGCTCCGAGCTCGGCATGCCCGCCAACCACAACGAGTACAACTACCACAAGGAGGTTGTTGCCGCCGCCCGCCGCGCCCTGAGGCTCCCCCGTTGCCTCGTGGGCGGCGCGGGGCCGCTGCGACACTAATCTACAGACGTGCGCTCTCCCCAGCGTGTCGTTTGCTCCTCCTCCTCCTCCTCCTCCTCCTCCTCCTCCTCCTCCTCCTCCTCCTCCTCCTCCTCTTCCTCCCTCACCCCTCTGCATCCTCCGCGCCTTGCCCCCCTCGTCACCCCGCCCCCCTCATCCAGCCCTCGTCCTGCTCCTCATCCATCTGCCTTGTGTCTTCGTCGGCCTCGTTCTAAGGCACCGCCTCTGGCTCCGCCTCCTGGTTTTGCTGCGTCGTCCTTCTGGCAACTCGACCTCCGCCCCTCCTGCTCCTCATCCATGCGTTCCCCCCCCTGCGCCCCCCCACTCCGAAATCCAGGCGCGCCCGCCACCGCGGCCACCGCCGGACCCGCCGTGGCGCGGCCGACGCACCTGCAGGCTTGGGTGTTGGCAGCGGGCAGCTCGCCGGGGCCTCAAACTGCTTCGGGCCGTCGGGGGCGGCGGCGTCGGGCCCCCCTTGTCCCCCGGCATGGTCGCGTCGCGAAGAAGCCACGACAGATGGCCTTCGGGTTTTGTTAGGCGTCCGGCTGCCCTCGCGGGGCACGAGGCCTTCGAAAGACGGTTCGGAATGAAATGCCGGACGGAAAGGGTCAGGTTTTTAGGTGCCGCGCATTGAAAAAGGCAAGACGTCGCGCGTCTGAGTGCCCCTTGTTCTTCCGCCGCCTGTTCCACACCATGGAACCATCACACAGTCGGTGGCTGTTAATCTCCCAAGCAGCACTATGGTCTGCCACACCGGGTGGGGCTGATATCTGTGCGTGGGAGTCGTTTGCTTCCCTACAGGCTCCTCCTTCCCTTCTCTCTCTCTCTCTCTCTCTCTCTCTCTCTCTCTTTCTCTCTCTCTATTCCTGGCACGGCCCTCTGGGCGTTCCGCCTCTGGGGGCCTATTGCGGGCCCCAGGACCAGTAGAAACGGATCCGGGGCCAAACATTGCACCATATGGATCCTGGTGGGGTCCAGGGACCGGTTTTGAGCGGATTTGGTTTCATCTTCAATCCTGTCAGATTTTCTGGGGTCTCTACCAGTTCAGACCCCCCAGCCACCCCCAAGCTGAGCTCATTCAAGGCAAACATTAGGCAAGCATTCGCTGGAGGCAAAAAGTTTGCAAAGCAAGTTGCTTGGTGAATGCCAGACGGTTGCCTTCCAATGTGCTCGCTTGCAGTGAGCTCGTTTTTGCCTTCGGTGAGCTCACTGTGGCTGGCAAGCCCTGGTGAGAGGCGAAGAGCCAGAAGCGGCGGCAGCGAGGATGCCACGGTCCGAGCGTGCGCAGACAGACCCATCACGCACGCGCGCGCTGATGCGGCTCGACAGGCGCGCGGGCGCGGCGTCGCGCCCGCGGAATCTGACAGGCAAGCGGGTGAGATTGCAGTGGCGGCGTGGGAAGCCCGGCAGCGAAACGCGTCAGCGATCACACGCACACGCGCACATGCACACGCACACGCACACACATGCACACACACACACACACACGTATGTCTTTTGCAAAGAAAATAGTAGTCTTGCGCCCGTTCGATGCGGACAAAGGCACACACAACAAACATAGAATTGATGTTCGCCAGCTGCGTGCCTGATGTCTTGAGTCATATCATGTTGCTCGATTGCGATATCTGCCGCGCGAGCTCGTCTGCAGTAAGGCCTGCTCGCAGCACGCCGTGAGCAGCCCAGGGGTGAATGGCCTCCGGCGCCGGCGCTGCTGCAGAAAAGCGAGAGGAGGCAGGGCAAGGAAGTGCTGCTGGAGATCCGCGGCGGAAGGTGCAGACGAGGGAGAGCAGAGTGTCTTGGGCTCGGCATCGCTCGGACGTGTGCAGTTTTCCGTCGGCGAGGACCATCGAGGAGCATCCATGATCATTTGGCGAAAAAAAAAACACGCGCGAAACCGAAAAAAAACACAGGGAATGGACGTCCGAGCGATGGCGAGTGGGAGGTCACGGTGGCTTGGAGAGCGCACGCTGCTCCAGTGCCGCTGCAGGCGCCAGGTCGGAGGCATGCGCGTGCGGTTCCGTGTCCAGCTGGCTGCGGAAGGCCTCGCGACCGTGAGGCGTACGGCCAAGACGTCGGAGTAAGGATCATGTAGGGTGCAGCAGGGACTCTGGTTTTCGAGCCGTTCCCTAGATCCCAATTGCGTTCTTTAAGGCGGCACGACGACTGTACAGCCGGGGCCCTGAAGAAGGAGCCCTGTTGGTTGGGGAGGGGCTCCGCGTTCCTTAGTGTTTCACAGCTTGCCTCAGGTTTCCCTTATGTTTTCGATAGGAAATCGAACTTTAACTTATGGAAAAAGGGGCCTCGTTCCTTATTTAGGGTTCCTTAGGTCAACGCCCCGACTGTATACCGAGCTCTGCCGAAGAGCCTTAGTACAACAACAGTTTTGCTGGTCCCCAGCCGCCCCCCCCCCCCCGAGGACGTTATGTCGGCCGTCCTGGGCGCGATAGATAAGGCGAACTCTCGAGAAAAGGCCAGGTAAAGCCGTCTTGGGAGCTATCTGGGAGGCAGCGCTGCGGTGCTGCAGTAGGGCGTGACCGTGACGTTGCACGTGTGGCACGTTGTTTCATGGAAGGATGTCCCACAACTCCTCGGGTCGGAGGAAAGTGGCGATTCAGTGGAGGCCCATGCTGATGCACGCAGCTGGTTTCGGCTCCGCCGCCGGCCGCTTCTCTCGAGAAGCTGACGCCCGCGGTGCCTGGAGGCGCTGGGCTGGTTCGCTGACCCCCTATCTTCTCAGAAGGGAAAGAAACACACAGACACAATTAATCGTCGATTCCCCAGAAAATATGGGAAAATATCGGAAGTGGGGGGGAAGACAGACACCCAGAAAATATGGGGAACATTTTTATTTGTGTGTATTTATTTGTGTGTCCTGGGGCCTCTTCATCTTCGTCCGACCCGAAAGTCTGAGACTCCCGCAGGGCGCCAGAGCTCGCAGGGCTGCAGGCGCTAACGCGCAACGCGGGCGCGCGGAAGCTCGTTGGGAGTCCCGGGATCCTTGGGCTGGCACGGCTGCGGATGGCAAGCGAAACGGTGTCACAGATCACGGAAGTTAAGTGTGCAAAACGGTAAAGCAGGCCCATGGCCGACGAAAGCGTGGCACGGCATTGCAGTGATATAGAGTTGCATTGGATGGCATCGTAAGGCATCCGAGGCCAAAGGACAGCATGGCATAGCACAGATGTTTTACGAGAAGTCGGCGCCCGGGTCGCCAGGAGCCAGCCAGATTTGTTTGCCAGGCAAATGTGTCTTGTCAGAGTCGAGCAAAAATCCTGCGGGCCAGCCTGATTCAAGCAGAATGGCATCGATGCTATGCGTTGTTGAAGGAAGTACCGCGTGACGTGCCGCATCATATTCCAAGCAAGGGGGATCCACGTGCAGCTGCAGCACACTTCTTCTACTGCTGTTTATATGGCTACTCCTTGGCCGCCTCCACCCCTCGTCCCCAGCGCCCCCTTTCTCGCATATGATTACTATTATCATCATCAGCAGCATCAGCATCGGCATCATCAGCAGCACCAGCAGCAGCATATTCATCATAAGCAGCAGCATAAGCATCATCATCATCAGCATCATCATCTTCCATTTTTTTTCATGTGCTCGTTTTCCGTGTCACTTTGTAGTTGTTGGTTCACGTGATGTTATGTTGCCTCATCGTTCTCATCCCATCTTTTTCCCAACATTTTTGCGCCTTGCCTATACCCAAGATTGTCCGCCCTTGTCCATGGTTTTCTGACAGATGCCGTGAGCGAGAAGTTTTTGGAACTGGACTCGACGTCAGAAAAGATGATTCCCAATTGGCAGTTGCCGCACTGAGCTTGGGTTCAAGAGCAGGTAAAAAGTCGTCATGTGGGAAGGAGTATGTTGCCAAGCTGACCTGCAGACTGTTCCTTCCCATTCGAGCGGCTTGGAGCTGCATCGAGTTGGTCGGTCGTTCTTTCGGCTGGTTTGTCCGCGGTATCTCTGACTTGAGCCTGAGCTCGTTCTCGCCGACCTCTTGCTGCTCTTGCCTCCTCGTCGACCCCTCCCGCGCCCCCCAGGACTCGATCACAGGCAACCGCCGCCGAGCAGCGGCTTGCCTTCCTGGGCGGCGGCAGCGGAAGGCATTGCCGCCCCCTGAGCGTTGCCAATTGGATGTGTTCTTGTTGGGGGAGCGTGCCCGATCGAAAGCCGGAGGACAGTGTGGTGCTCCACGATCCGATTAGGCAGGCGCCGGCAGCCGGAACACGCCCCACGAAGTGTAGACTCCTGGGTGCCACGGTCGTTTTGTACGTGCAGGAGACGTTCGGATGCTAAGCAGATGGTGACCGGAACTCCACAGTATGGCCGCCTCGGAGTGACAAGATTCATGTGTCATGGCGCCAACATCGCAGAGCGGATTTCGTTTTGAAAACGATAGCATGGGCCGGGAGTGTCCTGGATAAGGTCGTTCCGGTTTTCGAGGTGAATGTCGTGCGGTTCTTTTTGGGCCAGAAATGAAGACTTAAACAAATCCACGAAATTCACTTCGTTTTTCACCCGCCGTTTCTGGGTTTCGCATTGGCAGAAATCCGCGCACAAATCCGCCTCTGCACGTCTGCAAGGTCGGTGCCGTGACATGCGTGTGGTGTTGTGTCGCCCTGCTTTCCTCCTCGTCGCTCCCTTTTTCCTCCGCTGCTGGGACTCACGTTGTCTTGCTCGGCTCGCCCTGGCCCAGGGAATCCTCGGGATCCCTAGGGATCCTACCAATTGCCAGATTCCTGTGAGGGCCTCTTAGGGACTCCTAGGGTTTCCAAGGGATCCCACCAGTACCCCGATTCCTGGGAGGGCCTCCTGCGGAATCCTAGGGATTCCTAGGTTCGCTGTCCCCCTCCCCTCACGTAGCTTGGCCGACAGCGGCGAGGGGTGGACTGGGGCTCAGCACTGGCGAACGTAGACCCCGTCCAGAAATGGGAGCCATATATAGAGAGCCTTCTCCTCCCCGCCCACGGTTTAGGAGGAGGGGAACTGGGGGGGGAGGGAGAAGGAGGAGGAAGCTGGAGGGAACGAGGAGGAGGAGGAGGAGGAGGAGGACGACGAGGACGAGGAGGAGAGCGGAGGGGAAAAAGGAGAAGGGGCCTAAAACGTTGGTGTCCCCCACGGGAGGGGACCTGCACCTCAGCGAACCCCAGCGAGCACATGGATACGTACACAGTACACATATTTGTTAAAATTTAGGTTGCCGCCGGGTGCAGAGGGCAGGGCCCCTGCATTTGCTTCCTCTCCCCTGTCGCCTCGTCGTTCCTTCCCCCCCCCCTCTGCGCTCGTGTCGTGTCCTCCTCGCCGTCGCCGTCATGCGAACCTTTTGGGCCGGCACGGGGTTGTCCCTGAGCAGACGCCCGGTTGCGCAGCGGAGTTGACCTCAGGTTCTGGCCAGAGTTGGGCGCTGCTCACGCCACCCGCGAGGCGGGGCCCTCTCGATCGTGGCGCCTGTGCTGGTCCTGCCTCCCACGAGGAGGAGTCCCGGTATCCATTGCAGTCGCAATCCTCAAGCTTGATGAGCCGAGGAGGATGAGGATCTTGCTCCTACTCCTTCTCCTGCTCCTCCTTCCGATGCATTGAGGCCCTTATCTGGGGACCACACACACGCATCTCCAGGCCACTGTAATGACCGCATGGACGCGTTCCCTCCTCCTCCACCTCTTCCTCCTCCTTCTCCTCCTCCTCGTCCTCCTCCTCCTCCCCCTCCCCCTCCCCTCCCCCTCCCCTGCTCCTCCTCTTTCCTCTCTCCTCCTCCTCCTCCTCCTCCTCCTCCTCCTCCTCCTCCTCCTCCTCCTTCTCCTCCTCCTCCCCCTCCTCCCTCCCCCCTCCCTCCCTCCCTCCTCCCTCCCCTCCATCCCTCCCCTCCTCCTCCCTCCTCGTCCTCCTCCTCCTCGTCCTCCTCCTCCTCCTCCTCGTCCTCCTCCTCATCTCTCTCCTCCTTCCTCCTCCTCCTCCTTCCTCCTCCTCCTCCCTCCCTTCTCCTCCTCCTCCTCCTCCTCCTCCTCCTCCTCCTCCTCCTCCTCCTCCTCCTCCTCCTCCTCCCTTTGACACTTCCCATGCATGGTTTACGCCCACGCCTTGCGCATATTCGCATATTATTCCATGCGGGCGCCTCGGCGCCCCTTCTCCGCCGCGCCTTCATTGCCATGTGGTGGAGCCCCTTGCCTGGGGGAGCCGAAATGGTGGCGACGATGAGAAACCGCAATTGCAATCGAAACGATGAAAAGCCGAGGGATCTATCGCAATCGTAAAAGTCAAGGTGGGGAGCCGAGGAGGACGAGCAGCCGAGATGATGACGATGAGGAATCGCAATGTTGGTAACAACTCACGGGAGCATCACATGTCCTGGAAGCTCTGATTCTAGCGCGCATCAGCGCGCGTTAGAGTCTGGCAGTCGATGAGAATTCGTCGATTTAGCGTTGTCCAGCGCCGATTCGCAAGGGCCAGCAGGATGACACGGGAGGCTTCCATAAGTTGCCACGAAGATCGCAACCGCAATCGAAACGAGGAGGAGCGGAGGGATCGTAATGCCAAGACCCGGCGCACTCGGCTCCCCCAGGCATCGGGAGCCTTGAGACGGGGGTCAATGCAAACGGGGGTCAGCCACGGCGCCGGATCCTGCAGGATCCTGCAAAGACCCCCTCTGGCTGACCCGGGTTAGGGAGCCGTTCGTGGCCGCGAGGCGGCCGCGCTTATTGGCTGACCCGGGTCTGCGAGGACCTGCGTTGCAGTTTTTTTTCACTGCATTGCAGTTTTTGGTTTCCTGCTGACCCGGGTCTGGATTGACCCGGGTCAGAAGATCCCCGAAGGCAAGGGCGATCGCCTGCATCGCGGCACCCGGCGCGGGGGGGTGCAGCAGCACATGGCCGCCCGACGGAGCACAGACGCCGCGGTTTTGGCTGAATTGTCCTGCTCTGATGTGGCAAAACATCACCAGGCGAGATTGTACAGTGGAGGCCCATGCCAAGGAACACCCTGCTTGCCTCCAGGTGCCCTGGTTTCATGGGTTTCCATGGTTTTGCAACGGAAGGCGTGGCGTACCCACTCCAAAAATCAAGGGACGCCCTGGGGTCTCAGGGTTGGGTTTCTGGGGTCTCAGGGTTGGGTTTCTTGTGGAAGGTTGTTTGTGGTCGGGCCCCTACTGTATTGAGCTGCAGCTGATGTTTCATGTTTTGTTCCGCCGCCTGCTCTAACGAGTAGCGCAATCGCTGTTCTGTGCTGTTACGCACTGCTCAGCGGCGGCGGGCCTAGGGGGGAAGCCAGAGTGGGCGGGCCCCTCTCGAAAGGCTCGGAAGGCCCCTGGCCTCCTGAGAACCTTTCTAAGCCCTAAAACCTAGACCCGTTTAAGCCCCCTGAACCCATCTAAACCCTTCGCAGAAGTTTCTACGCCCCCTTGTGAAGGCAGAGGTGGTTTCTCAGAGGGCAGCGGGGATTCTGAGAAGCCCCTTCCGCCTTCTGAGACGGCCTGGCCCTTCTCACTTCCCCCCGAGCGCGCCGCCGAGTTTGCCGCGCGCCCCTATCAAGGGGGATGCCACCGACACAGAAGCACTATCCTTGCTTCCTGTGCTATGGTCCGGGCCGCGCTGCAGCGGGCGGCGAAGCGGCCGATGCCGTCGGCCCCGCCCTCTCGTTTTCTCTCTCGCTCTCTCTCTCTCTCTCTCTCTACCTCCGTCGAGGAAGGAAAACCGCCCAGCCCCCCAGAAGTGGCGTTGACTGAAATGTCATGCACGTTTACTAAACAGCCCTACCCTGTTCGATTCCTTCTTTAGGCGCGTTTACTAAATTTCCTCTTTATCGTAGTGGTCATTGTGCGGGTGGTTCTTCAGCCCTCTTCTCCGAGCCCCGGCCGCTTGGGTGCGCCTCCGTGGCGCATTGACGCAAGGCGGTGGCTGCAGGTAAAGTCAGGGGGAACAGGGTGGAATATGCTCAAGGAGGTGGGGGGGGTCGAGGTTAGAGCTGTTCAGGTTCTCGTCGGTTCTCGGCGGCTCTCCGGCCCCTGGATGCTCTCCAGCAGCGGCACCTCTCCGAGAGCGCTCCCAGGGGTGCCCACAGGTGGTCTCGAACGGCCGCCGGAGGCCCGAGCCGTGACCCGAAAGACAGACGACAGGGACCGCCGCAAGGACCAAGAACCTTTCGATCATTGGGGAGGAGGAGGAGGAGGAGCAGGAGCAGGAGCAGGAGCAGGAGAAGGATGATGATGATGATGATGATGATGATGATGATGATGATGATGATGATGATGATGATGATGAGGAGGAGGATGAAGGAGGAGAAGGAGGATGAGGGAGGAGGAGGAGGAGGGGGAAGACGGCGAAGGAGGGAGGGGGAGGAATGCAGGAGGAGGAGAGGAGGAGGACGGATGAGGAGAGGAGAGGAGGACAGGATGAGGAGGAGAGTGAAGAGGAGGAGGAGATGAGGAGGAGGAAAGGAGGAGGATGAGGAGGAGGAGGCAGGAGGAGGCCACTGCCCTCGATAACTGGCGGGATGGCTATGGGGGGGATATAAGCGAAGGAGGGGGACGCATCGATGCCCGCTCGCCCAGTCACCGCCCATCCGGGGCGCCCGGCGGCCTGCCCCGACCAGGGCCGTGCGGTTCCGCCATGAGGAGGGGGAGGAGGAGGAGGAGGAGGGGGAAATAGGGGAGGAGGAGGGGAGGAGGAGGAGGAGAGGAGGAGGAGTAGGAAGGAGGAGAGGAGGAGGAGGAGGAGTGAGGAGGAGGAGGAGGAGGAGGGAGGAGGAGGAGGAGTGAGAGGAGAGGAGGGGAGGAGGAGGAGGAGGCAGGAGGAGGAGGAGGAGGAGGAGGAGGAGGAGGAGGAAGGGAGGAGGAGGAGGGGGGGGGTAGGAGAGGAGGAGGAGGAGGAGGAGTAGGAAGGAGGAGGAGGGGAGGAGGAAGGAGGAGGAGGAGGAGGAGGAGGAGGAGGAGGAGGAGGAGGAGAGGGAGGAGGAGGAGGAGGAGGATGAGGAGGAGGAGGAGGAGGAGAGGAGGAGGAGGGGAGAGAGGAGGAGGAGGAGGAGGAGGAGGAGGGACGGAGGAGGAGGAGAGGAGGGGGCGGGGAGGAGGAGAGAGGAGGAGGAGGAGGAGGAGGAGGAGGAGGAAGGAGGAGGATG